GGCTGACAGGGTGTTTATACATGTACAGGAAACAGAAAGCGAGGCAGAGTGTGTGAGAGAGTGTGTGTCACACATAATACCAGACATTCATTACTCAACAGGAGAGGGAGAGAGACCAAAAGCTGCTGACAAATACATTATAATGATACTTTGTGCTGTGGATTTAAAGGTGTTGGGATTATCAAATCACTGGATTGTAACGCACAGGACGGAGCCTGAAGGTAGGAAAACTATATAAATGTTAAAAATGTTTACATATGCTTCATACATTTTAAATAAAGTGAATAAATATATATAGATTGATATATTTAAAACATCTAGAGATGACACCATGGCTATTTTAAGACCTCATTTTAGTGTGTAAAGGTTCAAACGTGGTTCATTTAATGATGAGCTCAATTCCATAAACAAATCGTTTCAATAAAAAAATGTAAACATTAACTTCTCACATTGAGTGAATCCAAACAAGTTTTCATCTTTAACATTTATGGTTAATTCATATCAGGACAGCGGCATGTTTTATGGCTCAGTTTTTATTAGAGAACCCTTTGTATATATAGACGTGTTTCTTCCCCCACAGTTTGATCTGCTGTCATCTGTTTATTCTATTAAGCACTGCAGTAGCTCGGTGTCCTGCGTGCATGTGTACTTTTGTGTTTGCATGTGCACTTGTGTATGTACTATTGTGTGCATTGTTGTGTGTTTGAGTGCTCATAGCAACTACTACAACCAAGCCTACATATTGAGATATTTATGTCAACGTAAAGGTTTTGTTATTATTGACCTCAGAGACCTAATAGTTTCCGTGTGAGTGTGTGTGTATAAATGTTTAAACAGCTCATGCAGGGGGGAGAGCAGAGAGCAACTTGTCTTTCGCAATCTTTATTTTGTATGACTGCAGGTTGTGGTCCAGATTATTGATCTGATCAAAAGGGCAATAAGTCACGAGGGACCATTATAGAGCCATCAGTGTGAAAGGTGACAGAGTAACATGTGCACTGAGCATTTTGAAAACATGAATAAAAAACAAAATCATTATTTTGGTAGTATAGCCTAGGTGCATTATCATTTATCAGGTGCAGACTATGCGGTTCTTCATTTATTACAATTACAGCCTTCCAAGCTGCAGTAATGAAAGATTGATTTTTGAAATTACTCTGCAGTCAACTGTTCGGTAGATCCATCACTTTCTCTGGTACCTGTATATTCTCTAAATGGTAATGTGCGGAGGACATTTTAGGAAAGATGACAGATGCTCTGTATTACTACAGTAATGAAAGTGTACGGCTATTATAACGGCAGCCATTCATTCCACTTGGGAAATTAATGTCGTTAAATACAAATCTTGTCCTAGTCCAGCCTGGTATTTTAAAATGCATCCCGAAATTCAACACTTTTTAGTCTTGACCACGGGAGAAGTGGAGTAACACCTGTGAATCAATGCGTCTCTTTACAGCTGGCATTAACATGAGTTGTGAGAGTGTCTGGATATGTTGGAATCAGGCCAATGTACATATAATGCAGGTGTCCATACACACAGAAGATACAGTTAACTAAGAAGCTTTTCAAATTAGTAAGGGGTGCTTTGCACTATTCCACTTCTTTTTTTGTCTCTCACTTTTTTAAAAACTATTTTTCTTTTTGTATTACTTTTAATATAGTATATTTTAATATTGTTTTAATATTGTCTGCTTATCTGTATTATTGTGTTGCATTGTTGGAGAGGCCTGTGACCTAAGACCTTGAACCTTTTCCCTTATATAAGACCAACTAAAAATGATGCATAACAAACAATAAACAAACAGGCAGAATGGAGGGAAAAAATAAATTGCTGTTAGAGGAAAACAGCAGGCGAGTGGCTTTGTGCTACGGCAGCATATTTACACATACTATATATGTATGTATTCTCCTCACTGTAATATACTTTATGATAAATTCTACTAAAGCCTTAATGTGTAATAAGTATAATAAATGCACTGTACTGTATGGTCTTGCCCTACCAGTTGATCCTGAGGCAAATGCATCACTGCTGCAGGATTAGAGCAGCCTATGCTATTTTTTCAAAACATAATAACATGTACATTATGATTGACTGGAACACTTTGGTAAATAGTCAATTTGAAATTATAAATAAAGCTATTACACCACATAGCAGAACAAAATGCTGATTGCAAGTTACCACAGGGAGAGAAAGACCCAAAGGCATACAGACTACTAAAGTTGGTGAAAACGTGAGAACAACGAGGGACATATAACTTCCTATGTGAAAGAGCACATATAGTTTTATGATCTCAACCCAAAAGGGAGCCCTCAGCGGCTGACATGAAAGGCTTTCTTCATGCTGCTTCAATTTAAATGCAATTTGGCATGTTATTCAGCAGAATGAATTATCTCCTGATTTACAAATAGTCTAACTCTATTCACGTCATTATCATACTGTGTCTGGGAAGCAACAGGCCTCAAGCCGAAACATTAAATGTGCAAAGAAGGACTGGAAACCTAAACTGGCATGCACTTGCGCTCTCTCTGCTGTGTTAATCTATGAAAGTTAATTGTGTTGATATGCTCCTCATGTAGATCATGGCACATGCAGGTGCTGTCTCAGCACTGGCTAACCAATCACAGTACAGCAACTCCACTGTATCAGATTTGCCAGAGAGATCCTCGGAGTACAGCGATGCAGAGCTCGTGCTGCTGCTGGGCGCAATGGCTATTCTGGTTCTGGCCATAGTTTTTGGTAAGTTACACAAAATCACTGCGATTAGTTGATTGTTAAATAAGGATCAACGCAACTTCGACAACTTCCAGTTAAATTACTAAGTATATATTTTCTTCTGTCCAGGTAACGTGCTGGTGATAACGGCCATCCTGCGGTTTAAGAGGCTCCAGAAAGTCACTAACTTCTTCATTGCTTCGCTGGCTGTGGCCGACCTCATCATGGGTTTGGTTGTGGTCCCCTTTGGCTCCAGCTACATCCTGCTCGGAAAATGGCAGTTTGGAAACTTCATGTGTGACTTCTGGACCGCAACTGATGTGCTGTGTGTCACGGCCAGCATCGAAACTCTGTGTGTGATTGCTGTGGACCGATATCTCGCCATCACCTCGCCTCTTCGATACCCAGCGCTAATCACCAGGTATCACCAAGACTTTTTGGTTTGGATGTGTTGAAAGATTGGCAAGGTTGAGACACTGCAATCATAAGTGAATCTTACTAAATAAGCAGAAGTAAAAAGTAATAAAAGAGCTGCTGCTGCCCTGCCCGTTACATGTTTGTAACTTTCTGTAATGTTGTACATCCAACCACACCCAAAAAGTGATGTCACAGCAGGTGTTTTCATCTTCTGTCAAAGGCAAAAACCGCTCTGGTGTCACTTTTTAGGGTGTGGACAGAGGTAAAACTGCTGTAAAATTGGAATCCATAGACAACACTAACTTTCTGTCTTTAAGTCGGCATTGTTATATCCTCCCCTCTGCTTATATTGGTTTGGTCCAAATAGGCATGGCCGCCTAGACTTTTGGGGGCAGTAAGCGAGCTTTGGCTTGGGGGCCCCCCTCACTCTAGCGCGTTATTCTCACTACGCACAACACGGAACCAACTTTTGTCTTATGATGTTAGCATAAGCACACATATTGTATAAATAACCATGTAAAAACCGTGGACCTGACCTAACCTCCTCTCGGGGGATCTGGGGGCATGCTCCCCCGGGAAGATTTCTTTTAAAATATTGAAGTCAAAAGCATCAATCTGGTGAACTTTGAGAGCAAAATTAAGAGATCTATGGATACATCTCTCAACACCCATATGAAACAGAACTATAAACAGATTTTTCTTTTTGGATATTTTACAAATCACTCTTTATTCTTGTTTTGTCATATAGTATTTCATAACTGTTTTTCATTTATTCTCTCTGGCTGTCCATCTAATAATGTTCACATAGAAACTAGCTGTCAATAGGAATATCATTCCGAAGAATTATAATTTCATGCAAAACTCTGTCACAAAAAGAGGTTGCACATTTAAATTCAGGTGTTGTTATGGCAACGTCAGTGGCCAAACAGCCACATGTACTGCTGCAAATACGTTCAAACATGCTGTCGACACGTAAAGCAGTGGCAACTCTGCCACCATTTCAGCTGACTTTTTTCTCAGAAATACTGTCACATAACATCCATATAGTTCAGTGCTAGGTTGATGCTTAGCTAAGCTAACTATGAAACACTTTAACTGACAGGACTCCGGATCAACTGTGGTAGCTACTAGCTTCATGTCGAACAGTAAGTCAACATTTTCCAGAGAGCTTTTTTTTAAATCACCAGGTATCGCTAAAAAACATTACATTTAGATTGTATGACAAAGTGTTTATGTATATACCTGGCTAGCTATAGCTACTTGCTAACGGTTTAGCTTACCCCCGCGATTCAAAGTAACGTCAACGTAGCTGTAATTTATGCTTGGGCTGCCAACACTCAGGCATTGAGCTTGAGAGTCACGCAATTAACCCATATCTCACGCACTCACGCCACACTTGCCTTTCCTCACGNCTTCTCACTGTTCTCAGGTCAAATATTTATATGTGATTTAAAAATGCGATTAATTTCGATTAATTAATTACAAAACCTCTAATTAATTAGATTAATTTTTTTAATCGAGTCCCGGCCCTAATATATATATATATATATATATATATATATATTGTATTCCAGTCTCCCTTCAGATATGTTAATTGGCATGTCATTCAACACAATGCTGCTCACCTCCTTCAGTTGGGAGAAAAGCTGGTTCAGGTTCAGCATTATGGGGGGACAGGGCTGCTGAGCCTAAATATGGATCTGTTGGTCCTGGCACCAGGGGGAGGGACAACTGATTTAGTATGAATAGCTGCTAAAAATCTACCTGCATTTATTAAATGTCAGCTAAAAGAGGAGTGAAATTAAAAACCTCTGCATTTTCTATATAGATATTAACAGTACTTAAGGTCAGCATTACAATTATTATTTACAATGGACTACGCTTAGCTAACAGTAACAGACTCATTTCCACCACTCATGGACCACACCCACCTTTTCTCTTGAAAAACTGGGTGACATACTGTCGCCCTTTAGTCCCTCTCTCTTGTCTTTCTCTCCTTTCTTTTCTTTCTTGAAAGCCTGACTTTGTTAGTCGTTGAGACATCGTACACACGTAAGTACTAGCATCTCTCCTCACATGCTCTCACTCTCTCTCTGCTAGATAGGGCCGGTGCCGCACCGCGTTTGGAGGCAGGACCAAACCATTACATGTAAATAGAAGGGGGTGTACAGAGGCTTTGGATAATTCACTTTTAGAAGAAAATAAGTTAAATGAATTGTAAGTTTAGCGAGTACATTATCAATATAACGTTCTATTAATGTTAATTATTGATGAAAGGTTGCTTTAAAAATGTTTTCTTAATGTTCTCAAATAGTTTGGGCCCCTGTCAGTCACGGGCCCTTAAAATTGTCCTAACTTTTCACCCCCTTACGGCGCCCCTGGATGGGAAACATCTCTATATTCATATAGAAAGTGAAATGACTTGAATCATTCAGAGCTATAGGCCAAACAGGCACCTCATTGTCCACCTTTCTAGCTGTGACGCTGACCTTTATCCTTTTGTACGGTTTCATTAAAGAGAACAATTTGCCTACACTACCACTGTGCTCTTCTTCTGAAATAATTTCATCGTCTAGGGAACACAAAGCCACCAGAGCAACAGCAGAGCGTTTACTGGAAGAACACTTGTCCATCGTAGTGCCTCTTTAATGCGATTAGCTCTGGATTAGCCTGAAACACAGACTGCTAGTCCTCTGCTGCAGAACTAATCACAACAAGGACTCCTTTATCTCTTGCTGAACAAATCAACTCCAACAGGGCTTCAGATAGAAAACCATCAGGGGTGATGTGGCTCAGATTCATTATTTTACATATATTTTTTCAGTATTTCCCAGCAGTTTATATAAAAAAGAACTACCTATGTAAACAAGTTGACCTTTTCCGTTCATTACGAGTACGGTGAAGATAATAAAGTTGTTACCAGTAATAGCGCTCAGATTGCAAAGTGACTAGAACGCAACCATACACATATTTAAACACACATATATGAAGTCACGCAACATAAACTAGGCATACGTGGGAAACTGTTTATTTTTCAGCCGTTTGTTATTATTGACTGTTTTGAAGAGCAGCATACGTTTTCCTGTTCTTTTCTTTATTATAGCTGCTATCAGGTGTAATCAGTACGTGGGCTACACAGGTTTCACTCTATCACAAGTAAGATCATAATGAAACATTAGTCTGTAAAATATGCCAGTTGCAAATGACTTCTCTCACAATATGATTGCAACAAGTAGTCAGACTAGCTTCAGTGGCTATGCTATCATCATCTAATACCAGAGAAACTTTGATACCACCGTTATGAGGCCAAACAGTGTCATTTCAAACAAAAAAACCACACTTATGGGGATGGGAAATATGCAACAGGGGATGTTGCTTGTGTGACAGTCACACAGTGAATTACTACTTTGCAGCAGTCGCTGTAAACAGTAGGCTGAATGACGGTGGACGAGCTCCTTTCCTGGAGTCGGCAAACGCGGCTGAACCACGGCACTCTGGAGGAGAATATAAAGTTGGAGAAGTCGTGCTTCAATTGAATCTGTTCTCGTAAGAACACCAATATGAGCATCGACCCAACGCAGTCCGCCATTGTTCTTACTCCGAGTGGCGTTTCAGAGAAAATCAGCGACGTATAGGGTGGCACCAGTGGCGGCTGGTGGAAAATATTTTTGGTGGGGCTATGGAAATGGTGACAAAACCATGTGTGTGTGTGTGTGTTTGTGTGTCAGTCATACTTGCCAACCCTCCCGATTCTCCCGATTTCTGACAAAATCAGATTTACTCACGACTGTTTCCACTCGGACTTTAATACAGCTACACCATTGTTTGGTTTCCATGGTAGCGCGTCTCTTTAGCAGCGCGCGCAACTCAAAGTCTGAGAGGGTGAGGAAGATGAAAACTGAACAAGAATCGACAACTCGACCCTCTGATCACTCCTTTCCTAGCCCACACATATGCTCCATGGTGCCACAGGCATTGCCCTTACAACTACAATAAGCATGCAAATGTTAATCTACAGCTCCGGCGATCCACTAGCACCGGGTGCTAGTGGATCGCCGGAGCTGTAGATTAACATTTGCATGCTTATTGTAGTTGTAAGGGCAATGCCTGTGGCACCATGGAGCATATGTGTGGGCTAGNACACACACACACACACACACACACACACACACACACACACACACACACACACACACACACACACACACACACACACACACACACACACAAATAGCAGAGTCCTTGCAACTGGATGACTGGACATGCACAAAAAGCCTCTGTCCCATGAGCTTAGTTAAAAGGTTAAAGTTGCACAGTGAAAATAATCACATTTCCTGATCCCATTTTTTAGTTGACAAAGAACACTTTCAGTAGTTTTTTATTTTTTTTACCAGAGTTATGGTCATTCAAATCTTGAATTGGAAACTGATCTGATGACGATAAGCCTCTGGCGGCATTATTTCTTAGATTCTGGTGTAGAAAGCGGATATCAAGGATAAGAGTTGTTTATAGTACGGTTTGCAACTTGAGACGTCATAATGGAGTTTGAACTAAATGAACACTTCTAGTAACAGTTTCACATGTATGTTAAATTATTAAAAAGCTAAATCATTGTACAGAATGGCATTGTGTTTTTATATTGCACATTGGCCAATATATTCAGCCCCTTTTTTTCCGTCTGCAGGAACATGCAACCAAATCCTACTTATAGAGGATTGGTCAATACCTTTCTGACGGCCAATGGAAACTAGCACACTGCCAATACTAAACTTTGACCCGCTGACACATTCTGCAGATTCAGCATCTGCAATCATTTGTTTATAGAGGTTATGGTAACTTCTTATATGATTTATTAAAATGTGATTACAGAATGCTCCTTGGGGGTCTGTATCACTGTTTGTTTTATGCAAATTGTCAGTGTGTTTCAATGCTAACATTTAGAATTTGCATTGCAGTATCTGGCACTTTTTAAAGGAAAGATTCGATAAGCATCCAGTCTAATAACCTTAAATGACCCTGGGCTGTTTGTTGAACGACATGCTGTGAATAGTACCCAGCTAATTTTAACCTTATTTATCTTTTTGTTATCTCTCCCTCTCTTTCTTTATGGCAGTCTGTCTCGGATGATCACACACCCATCCACCCACTCGATAAACACATAGCAGAGCAACAGATTCAGACATACACATGTCAAACTTCATTTTTTTATTCACAAAAAGATCCAACACGTTATGAATAAATATTTACCGACATGAGATGTGAATATGATGGAGGTAGAAAATAAAAAAAAGTTCCTCTTGTACACACACAACACACCCAAACCTACTTTTGGTTTTTACATTCAATTTTTCGGTTATGTCTCAGTACACACAAAGTATTAAACGAAAATTTGAGTGTAAACTCGAGTTTCAGTGCTGCTTAAACTCCACATGTATTTACAGACATAATCCAAACCGCACAATAAAATAACTGCTCTTTTTGAGGCACAGATAAATAACTGAATTTGAAATAAAAAAACAAGTATTTTCCAACTTTCAAATAATCTGTGGACACATTACAGTACATTGAAAATATTCAATGGCACATTTCAAGCTCCGCACAAATAGTTAATCATCACATCACAGGTACACAAAACATACAGACAGACACACACAGAACATATTTACTAACAACTGCTAATTATTGACCTTCAATACCCAGTTCAGGTGTAAATTCATCTATACAATCATCCATACACATAAAAGCAGGGCTAGGGAGATTCATTTCAATATGTAATTCGTCCTCTTGGAGTGTAATGTGTAATGTAATCTAAATGTATATGCTAATTAGCATATACATTACTAACATTACACATTATATTAAAGTAATCATTAATGATTACTTTAATATAATTAGATCATTATTTGACATTAAAACCTATTCAAACACACCTTCATTTCAACTACGTTTTTGAGTAATGTCAAAAATAAGCACAAAATATGAGTTATTACCTTGCATTGTGACAGAAATTGTTATCAAGACAGAACCAACTGCCTGAAAATCATCTTCCCACCGCTATCTGACCGATTACAATGTTATTAAAGGGACAGAGAAAATCGAAGCGTGGCTGCTGATGTTTGGAGCAATAAATAGGCAGAAAATAGTTCCTGCAAATTTGTAATGGGAGAAAGCGAACACAAAGAAAGAAAGTTATGATAGTCACAAGTTTGGGTCTCAGATGTTTATCTTACACACAAATATACACCAACAAATGATTTTGGACCTGCTCTGAGGTTTATCAGGAAGGAATGGAAAACAAAAATCCCAGGAGGTTATTATGAGTCAGCCTTAACTGAGACCCTCTGTTTCATATAAGACTGTTTAGCTACAGGGCAAACAAAATGTATTTTTTAATCTCTGCTTCATGGTGGGTTTGTGGTGCCTTTGTTGCTGGCAAACATAGTTTTCAGCACTGCAAATGTGATGGTCTCTGTTGAAAATATCAGTCAGGGTCTGAATACTGAATACTTTTGATAACAAAAATCTGTTTTAATCTTCATTCATTCCTCCAGATTTAAGTCCGACTATTACTGCCGAACATGGTTTACTTGTGTAGCTGTTTTGAAAAAAAGAACAGTGACCACACGTTAACCCTTTCTAACACTGACTGAATAAACATATTAATATTGGCTAGCAACACTTCAAGCTACCGCCTAAAAAAACAATAAGTCTTTGTCAAACCAAAACAAACATTTTGAACTCCACCAAACTGATGTTCACAGCACGACTCGACTTTCACAATGTAAAGACTTCAGGCAATTGAAGCCAGATTTTCCTTACAACTCCCGTTAGCAGAGCTGTTGGCCTGCCGATTTGTCAGGGAACCAGGAGCTACTTCTAAAACCTGGTCCAGGAGAGGAGTCGGAGGAGGAGCCAGACTTAGCGAGCTGTCCCGAATAGAGCTGTCCAAACTGCCCTTCCACCCCAACCTCTGCTGAAGGTCCAGCCCCCTGACACCATTCAGGTCTGAGCCCACATTCGTCTTACCTGGGGGCTTGGTGTAACAATCTCTGTCCCTGCACCATCCCCATCCTCTCCTCCCTCCCCTGCTCCCCCTTTTGCCCCTGAGACAGAGTATCTCCTGGAAGGCGTGCCGGAAGTCGGGGCTGCGGCAGTAGATGAGTGGGTTGAAGGCCGAGTTAGAGTATCCCAGCCAGTTGAGGAGTCTGAAGAGCAGCTTAATATCCCCTAATCTGAGGAAGGTCATGAGGATGTTGAGGATGAAGAAGGGTAGCCAACACAAGGTGAAGGTTCCCATGATGATCCCAAGAGTTTTTACAGCCTTGTGCTCCTTCAAACAGAACTTAAGACGTTTTGCAGCAGAGTATTTTCCTTCACCTTTTTCTGTCCTTGCTCTGCTTTCTGCTATCTGTTCCCCCTTCCCTGTGTCTGCATCTCCTGTTTTCTGCATGTTTAGTCTCTCCTCTTCCTCCTGAGTTCCTGTTCGTTTGTTCAATGCTGGACTATCTTCTGGATAAGACAGATGTACAGCGTAATGCAAGTGAGAAAAGTGCCTCTCCCTCCCTCTAATCTTCTCCAGCTGTTTCTGCGCCTCCTGGAAAACCCTGGCGTACAGGAAAATCATCACCACCAGCGGCAGGTAGAAGGACACGATCGAGGAAGACACCGCGTATGCTGCATTGGTGTTGAAATCACAGCAGTACTTGTCCCCCAAGCACCGCTTAGCTTCCTCATCGCGTGACATCGAAAGCTTCAGATGAATGGGCAGGAAGGAGATGAGGGAGGCCACCACCCAAACGCAGAGGACCACTGCAAAGGCCCGACCCCTAGCAGGAGACAACAGAGAGTGCACAGATGAGGACTATTGTAAAAAGGTGAGTGGAAACACTGACAGGTCACAGATGTAGATTTAGAAATGGGGTGGCTTTCTAAAAGTGTAATAAAGTCTCTTTAAAAGCAATGTGATAGTATCCATTTTTAGCAAAAATAACCTTCTGTCATATCTGGGCACATCCTAAGTTTAATTGTTATTCACTGAGTTAGCATTACACTGCTATAACATTGTCAGAAAGAAGAACCAGAGGTATTTTCCTTGTTCTCTGCGTTCTTCTCCCCTTGTCAAAACTTGTGACAGAAATGCAGAGATTCAGCTGTGCTATGCTAATAGCTGCTAATGTAGCTTCCAACTGCTAGCCTCAAGCAGAGAAAGGGGGGTGGCTGTTTTATAACTCCACACCCGTAGATTATTTTTCATTGGCAAACTTATAAAGTCAGTACCAGCCAACGCTGACTCAATCAACATCAATCAAGTCAATTTACAGGATATTGCGCTGCTTCCTTTGAAGCCACAAAGGCTGCATACCGCTTTTTATGCAGAAACATAACATTATGCATTAACGCTTTCCAAATAATGAGAAATACACTTGCTACTTAAAGAACAATACAACAAAACTGTTACCTATTTGCAAAGCCGGCCCTACCCATTAAGCGACATAACCGCTTAGGGCCCCGCAGCCACTAAGGGCCCCCTAGCAACAAAAAAAAAAAATCTCAGTACACCGTTGCCGTGATAAATATTTTTAATTAATTTCGTTAATATGCCTACTCTCAAAGTCATGTATTATATTATTGAGTCAATCATATAATACATTAACCGTGCTTTACCTGAACCTCATCATGACACTAGAGAGGACGGCAGGATTGTAATTTCCCATGTTCAGTGAATGCAACAGAGGCAAGGCACCAGACCAACCAGAGAGTTGAATGGATATAAACATCTGTGTTATTGGATGACAGGTATCTATCCTGTGAGCTGTGACAATGTTTAAAATAAACTGTCAGTCTCAGACTCAGAGTTTTTAAAGATGGACATAAGAACATTTTTTGTTAAAAAAGACGACAATTCTCAAGTGGTGGCTCACACAACAACCCCAGAGACACCACTTGAGCCAGGTAAACAAGGTATGTAAATGTCAGTAAACTTCCAAGTTATGCGAAAATGTTAAGCAAAGCATAAATTACAGCTACGTTGACGTTACTTTGAATCGCGGGGGTAAGCTAAACCGTTAGCAAGTAGCTATAGCTAGCCAGGTATATTACATAAACACTTTGTCATACAATCTAAATGTTATGTTTTTTATCGTTAGCTGGTGATTTCAAAGAAAGCTGTCTGGGAAATGTGACTTACTGTTCGACATGAAGCTAGAAGCTACCTTACAGTACACAGTTGATCCGGAGTCCTGTCAGTTAAAGTGTTTCATAGTTAGCTTAGCTAAGCATCAACCTAGCACTGAAATATATGGATGTTATGTGACAGTGTTTCTGAGAAAAAGTCAGNTTTGACTGGCCGTTCCTGAGACGTGTTTCACGCGGTGGTAGAACTTGGGCCCGGAGCATTCTGCATTCTGAAGCTGCTGTTGCAGAGTGCTTCGTGATTAGGTGAAAGTTTGATGTATTGTATGTTCTACCATTAAAACAGATTATTGTTTAACCCTTATCCTAGTGCTTTGACTTTTCCTTCTTGTAAAACAAACTCATAGAGGAACGCGCGGAGCAGAGGTTCTGCCCCAACAATACATAAATGGGGAGAGAAATAATGCACATAGAAACCATGGGATATGTTTTGTTGCAATGCATGCATCATAGACTTTTTCACACCTAAGGGCTTTATTGAATCCGAAGAAGTCAAGACCTCCAAGTTTTGTACCAAGCCACCATTTGGTAGAAATCCCTGTTGAATCCTTCACTTGTCAAAAAGGAGACACTGCTGGTTTATTTCCTTATGTTGCTAATTGTGCTTTAAGTTCTGCCAAAGCCTGCTGGATTTTTCCAACACCAAACTGGGTTGCTCATGGCAGAGGACACTTTCGGGGACTGAGAACAAACAAGGTACTATGCTGGATGACGATTGAATTTTGACCTTGGACCTCAATATATAATGACATAAAAAATGAAACAACTCTTCTCTCTGTCTTCCTGAAGCCCTGATGATCATGATAAGTTCTGCTCTGATCATGAGGGTAATTTTCTGTTAAATTTGAGGAACCACAGAAACAAGTGACTAAAGAAAATGTCTATTAGGCCTGGAATAGCCAACCTGTGATTACTGCTGTCCTATTAAAACCTGATTAGTACAACACGGCACATTCATCTTTGCAATGTGAACAGTTGATTCCACATTTCACACTGGTTTTTAACACAACAGCTTAAAGCAGTAAAAGTCAAAGCATTCTATTTCAAGGTCATGGACATAATTCCTAATATTTATTTAAAAAATGGCTTGAGATGTTTTATTGGGAGTTTTCTTTAAAATAAAGCTTGAGTAGCCAAACTACGGCCCTTGGCCAAAATAAGGCCTCCTACGTTTTTCAAAATGTCCCGCTTTAAAGTTTTTAAATAATAAATTAGGCTTTAGCATATTTTTTACGAATGGCGCTGCACTGAGATTCTAGTTTAAACTCTATAGCTTTTAAAAACATTTTATAAAATAATATTTTTCTTACCTTTTGGTTCGGAAACTAATATTTTACCTTTACGCTCTGTTACATCTTTATATTAGAGGTACAGCAAACATTTACACTTGCATTATATTTGTTTAGAGGTGGTTAAGCCATGAACATTAACCATTATTTGTTGGCATTATTTCTGTGTTTAATGTTTGACTTAATATTTAGAGATTTACATCAAGACATCCCAATATTTTAATTGCCAATTTCTCCGAGTTAAAGAGTTTAATTAAGAGCAGCAGAAACCATTTAACTTATGAATATTATTAATAAGTAATATGAGGGCACACCACAACGTTGCTGTTCAGATTACTGTTTTCCATGTTTTCCACTTTTTTACTAGCAAGACTTTGCTGGGCTCCTTGTTTTTTTTCAGCCATATCAGGGTTGATCAAATCAAATTAGAGATTTTCCAATTTTTGGTTGGGTTGTCAGAAAATGAAAATCAAATAAAATCTTAGATGACGTTTTTCATTGGTGAGTTGTCAATTTCAAATAGAATGCCGTCCTATATCACCCGGCTAACAGCAAACCGAGATGTCTTTGACATTAATGATATGCTGGTTGTGAGGATGCATGCCCTTTATTGTAATGTATTGAGCATGAACGTTTACTTCAGGAGAAACCATATCTGTGTTTATAGAGCAAATGTTAAATATACATACGATAGGTTGTGTGAGATCACCAGACCAGTCTCGCATAAACATAACAATTCAAGTCTGTGTGTGTGTGGGCAGACACACACACACACACACACACACACACACACACACACACACACACACACACACACACACACACACACACACACACACACACACACACACACACACACACAAAGACACACACACACACACTCTCTGGAATGATAAGATATACGGAGCCACCAGCACCGCAGCAGTAATGCCCAAAAGTAGTAAGAGGGGACCAGCTCTCGGTCTCTCTCCCTCTCACATGCTCTCTCTCCTATATCTGAATCAAACACACTCAGCTAAAGCAATTGTGGAAATGTTACAGTTTAATTGTGGTTGTGTTGATGTATTATTACTGAGGTTCTTCAAAGTGGACGTCTAATATGGTCTCTTGACTAAGGGTTACTGTCCTTGTTGATGATAATAGCAATAACATATAGAGTAACAGCAATAAAGAATCCATTATATAACATTAACCGCCTACAGAAAGAACACAGTTTACCCTTAGGGTCTCTGCTTTTTTGGGTGAAATCACAGCAAATTTAAGTTTACATAACCGATAGTGCTTTTCACACACACACAAATAATTTGATTTACAAAGCTTAAAAGAATCTCCTTGTAATTCTCCTACAAATCAATAAGAAATGTTTAAATTCCAAAAGATTATTTATGTTTATGCAATGTCTCAAGCTTTGACTCATCTGTGTCAGGTCACATCTGCAATTTGGGATACTAAAACTATCAGACAGTGTCCCAGCTTGATCTAAGTTTAAAGGGGAGGTCCATGAGCTCATCTTCTCAGTGAATAGTCGGCCTTTGCATTTTCAAAGGGATTCAAGTCTGGGCTTGGACTCAAGGACATTCTTGTTCAGGAGCCATTCCAGTGTTGAGCTGGTTGAATGCTAAGGTCATAAAACATGTTTATTTTGCTGCAGACATTCATAAGCAGATTCTCCTTAAGAAGTGTCCCACATGTAGCTTTATCAGTTGCGTCCCTGCAAAATTCCCCTCATCTCTGCTGTTAAAAATACCGTCCCCATTCAATGCTGCTGCTCCAAAGCTTCACAGAAAGGACTCTGCTAGAGGGTACTTTCAGCCAAACATACTGCAGCACTTTGTTTTGCAGAGTTCGGTGCAAAACCACACATTTTACTTCACACTCTTTCATGTGATTGTTTTGCAAGTCTTGCTGTTATTGCAGCCAACTATAATTAAGTCCAATTATATTCATCTTGTAATGAATCCACCATCTGTGCTAATATTGAATCCCAGCAGTTTATGGGGACATCTTCCTAAAAAGCAGTGTGTGCCAGGAGATGAAACTGAATACATCTGTGCACAGATGCTAGGGTTTAGAGAAGAATGCCCCTGTGCACATGGAGGTGATTTGGGATCACTGTTCCTCCACACCAACATTACCACTGCTTTCCATTGCCTTTGTTGGGCTGAAAGGTAGTGATTTCCTATTCACACCTCAATGTATTATTCAAGGTGAATACATTGAAGTGTATGTTTTATGTGTCTTGTTGCCTCTTCTTCAGAACTTGATGTTGTGAATGTTGTACTACATTCAGTATGTAGGAAATAAAAGTTAGCAATATTTTGCAAATAAACACAGAGAGAATAATGGACATACCCACACTATTGACATTGCAGCTTGTCTCCATTTACATTATGATGACAAAACAAGCGTTTTAACCACCTAAAGAAACATTAGATGATTGGTACAAGAGACAGGCTTACAGTTATGTGTAGCCAGAAACTATTATCTCTGCAGTAAAACTATTAAACATTAGTAAATATGGCAGAAGTACAACAAAAAAAACATTTTGTTTTACCTTTTACTTTCCATTTGTATGTCATTGGAACATATTTGTTTAATATATCTCCTTTAATATAAACATTAATTTAATGAGGGTTTTGCGGTTGCTGTAGGATTTGAAATTATTTTTGTATATTAAGTAGAACAATGCCTTCTCGAGAAAAAATATCTAAGACATTTTCTATTTTTAGAAAAGGCATAAAATAAAAGGATGAATGCCTCTTTTATCCTCGTGGTCAGTTTTTTCGTCGTCCTTTTCCCTTGTTGGCTATATCTCCTCTCTCCCCTCTCTCCAATTGTGTTTTTGTTATCACTCAAGGAAGTGTGACACAGTGGAGAACCATTAGGAGGGATGCAGTTTGCTCTAAGCTAATTGTAAATCAATGACAGGACATTCAAGAGTGTACCGTCTGCCACTGTCCTTCACACACAGCTGGATGGGAATCATTTTAAAAGCTCCAAAAGGCCCACTCTCTGTACTCATCATCAAATGCACTCTGTTGTTAGATCGGTCTGGGTTGTGAAGGGGGGTGGGTCTAGCAATTGACAGATAACAGTAAATCAATAGATCCACTAGGAGCCCTATCTTCAACACAGATGGGGCAGTTGAACATCTTTAAATGGCCAGACAATTGGGAACGCAGCATCAGATAGATCAGGGGTTCTCAAACTTTTTGTTTATGCGGACCACTATTTATTATCAAGGATTTTCGCGGACCACCTCATATGCAAACCGTAAAAATAAGTAGGCCTACATATATAAATGTAGTGTTAAAACGCTGATATTTTTTATAGTTAATTATAGACAATCAAAAGTAAATTGAAGCCTATCTGATACTTTTGTGACAGGTGTCTGTCTGCGTTGTGTATGTTTTTCAAAGAGGATGGCGGACGCTATTTTAATTATGTCATCCCAAACAATGCCACAAGTGCGCGCAGTGCACTCACAAAACGGGCAGACAGGTCTACAAAAAACTACCGGTATGCTTAGTCCTACTTTAGTTACTGTACTGCAAAAAGCAGACGGCGCTGCGCTCAACACACACAGACTCAAAACCATGGACGCACCGGCACATAAGTAACATAAACAATGTATAGGCCTAAGTTGCATAAAGGCTTGAGCTACAGTGTTGCAACCAAGCAGACAGCGCTGCTTTCTCTCTGAAATTAACTTATTAAATAAACAAAACGAAAAATATCGCCTACCCAGGGGTGGATCTAGAAACATATTCACGGGGTGGCAGGAGATTTTGAGGGGTGGCATTCCCTGACAGAAGTATATGCTGATTTAATTGCAGTTATATCAATCAATGTTAACTTGGAAAGCCAAAATATTTATATTTTAACTGAATAACATTAGGTGACATTATTGTGGCACATCAGTGTATCCAGTTCTGTACGAGAGAGCGAACGCTGGCGCACTTAGCTGCCGCTGCTCTCCAGCTACTTTTAGATTTATTTGTATGTAATGCAACTGTTATCGTTCACTTTGATGACTTTGGCCATGATCTGGATGTATCTGCCCAACGATCGAATTAACCGGTGTACGTATATGCAGTGTGTGTGTATTTTGGACTAACATCAACCCTACCTGCTGTGTGTCGGGGCCACCACCCCTCACCTGGCTGCTTCCGCGGCGTGAGGCCCATCCTCTAGCCCAGGCCTATTCAACTGGCGGCCCGCGGGCCAGATGCGGCCCAGAACCAACTCCCGAGTGGCCCAGCCTCCCGTAGCCAAATTCCTACACTAGTACAGACCATGAACGCAACACTCCGTGTTGCATAGAAACCACCAAACCACAACGCAGCACGTTTTTTGAAAGTGCATCTAGTGGTGCTAGTAACGGTGGTCCTATGATAGCAACTCTAAAACATATCTCTCTCAACTCTGAAGCGTAAACAGAGACAAAACGGTCATTGATCTTGTGGAGCAGATCCAAGTCAAGCTGGGTCGAATGCTGCATTTTCCGACGCTCCCCAAACACATCACATCTCCGGCACAAATCACGGATTCACATCCGTGATTTGTGCCGGAGATGTGATGTGTTTGGGGAGCGTCGGAAAATGCAGCATTCGACCCAGCTTGACTTGGATCTGCTCCACAAGATCAATGACCNTACTCAGTGAAGACTCGCTCGAATCTGTCACTCAACGTCACAGGAACCTGCCAGTGTGTGTGTGATCATTTTGAAGATCGGCGCTCTTGTTTTTGACTTGCCGTTCCTGAGACATGTCTCACACGTGGTAGAACCTGAGCCCGGACTACTCTGCGAGTGCTTCGTGATTCTGTGATGTATTTGTATGTTTTACCATTAAAGCAGATTATTGTTTAACCCTTATCCTGGCTGCTTTGAATTTTTCCTTCTTTTGAGAACCCGCTCATATAAGAACGGCGCGGAGCAGAGATTCTGCCCCAACAAAGACCAGGCGAGCCGCTGCATTCTGGATGAGCTGCAGAGGTCGGATGGCACATGCAGGTAGACCAACCAGGAGGGAGTTGCAGTAGTCTAGGCGTGAGATGACGAGAGCCTGGGCCAGAACCTGCGTCGCTTTCTGGGTCAGGTGGACGTATCATCCTGATGTTGTAAAGAGTGTATCTGCAGCAGCCGGGTATGTTTGCAGTGAAGGACAGTTTGTTATCTAGGGTCACACCCAGATTCCTTGCAGTCTGAGTCGGGGAAACGACAGAGGGGCCGATGTTGATTGTTAGGTCAAGAGTGGGACAATCTTTTCCCGGAAGGAAAAGCAGTTCATTCTTGTCAAGGTTGAGCTTGAGGTGGTGAGCAGACATCCACTGAGAGATGTCTGCTAGACAAGCAGAGATGCGTGCGACGACCTGGATTTCAGAACGGGGAAAAGACCAAATTAATTGAGTGTCGTCAGAGTAGCAATGGTATGAAAAACCATTGATACCATCTATCCTTCATGGTTCTACACTAATTTACCTTCTAGCCGAGGGTTAGATGAGGGCCTTAACCAAAAAGATTTTTTTTGGCTTAGCATAATTAATGGAAACAGGCGGGACAGCTATTCCAACAACTCCAAAAATCCTTTAATAACATCTATAGCGTTTAAGTGATTAAGAGCTTTAAGTGTAAAATAAAAGTACCCATCGCCCAACCACCTAAATCCAATGCTCATGTGAACAGGGCCAAAATCCAAAACCAGATAAATTGGTTTCATTAACATTTAGTGAAGTCAGTGTGTTACCGCATAATGACGTGTGAACAAGATAAGAGAGGACTTGTACCAAAGCGACCAGGAACATTCATTGTAGTGTTGAGTCATGTTCTTGTGGCTGGAAACATTTGTAGTGTTTGTTCCCATATCTGACGTTTGCAATGATGACAAAGAACAATAAACTAACTTGATGTTCAGATAGTGCAGGCTATATATCATATCAAAGAATATAATTCCCAATATTCATTCATAAAGTATTAACCCTACAAGCAGACGGCTACAGTAAAACATGCAGCATGCCAGGGGAATGAGTTTGTGTTGAGTCTAGATGTCTTGTTTCAATGGTGATTATAACTGTGATGTGGATGAGTTTTATTTTTTAGAATATTTTTTTAGATTTATGTCTGTATCTGTCAGTGTCTTTCTCACTGGGGTTAAGTGCCTCTCCGGTGCCTTACAAGCACCCAAGGACAGAAAAACATTGAAATGTCTCTGTGACGAACAGCAGTCCACTGTAAAAGAGTAGTCATCCGGAAAGACACGCACGCACGCACGCACGCACGCACGCACACACACACACACACACACACACACGCACACGCACACATGCACACATCCATCCATTCAGTCTTTAAAAAATATCAAAGCTGTGTCTGTGATGTTCATATCTTCCTATATTCAGTGCCAATCAAACTGTAGTGCTGCGTTTGATCATCCCTCACTGCTCTGTGATTAAAATGTATAATTTAAAGAAAACGTGTGTGTATGTGCGTGAAATCAGCAGACAGACAAACGCAGAATATCTGTCTGTTCTCACTCT